ATTTCTTCGCCGCGCGACGAAATATTACAGCGCAGCGAAAGCAAGATGAAAGTTGTAACTGGATCAAAAACACGACAAAAACAAGCCAATTATTTTGAGATCAATCGTACTTCAACTGTGTTAAATTAGTGGCCACTTAGTTCTTTTCTCAGCAGTTAAGTTCTGTAGTAGCTGAATAAGACTTCAAAAAATATACTTGAACGAAACCGAATAAACTAAACAAACAAGCCGCGTGGAGGTCGCCGTAAATTAATCCCTTAAATATGCATAAATCCAGCGTGCAAGTTTCTCTTCACTTTAAAGCCTAAATTCTCAAATACAGGGAACCAAATGAAAGAAAGGAAGTTTAACAACACTAAATTTTCATTCACGCCGAAGCGAAGAAACCTATGTAAAAGCAAAAAAATGTTCAAAATTTTCGCAGACGTGCTTCGCTGCATATCAGCATGTTCAAACTAATTCTTCACGTTAAAGCGAAAGCTTGAGTTTTGGCTGACAACTTCTCCGACTTTTGCAGTCATTTTGTCGGCCGTGCGTTACCAATCGTTCCAAAAGTTGAATTCAACTTCGAAGTAATACTGTACATTACTATTTTTGTTTTCTAAAGTCCGGGAAACTGCTTAAAATCCGCGATCGATATTCAAAACTTACTTGAAAGCGTACAACCGATCATCATGGTTTGAGGACTCTGTACTCGTTGATCTTCCATTCTGAGGCCACCTAAACACTGATTTGTATTTTTCTTTGCTATTTTAAATCTCAAAGCAGTAATTTCTCCCTGTTAGAAATGAAAACAAGACCTTTTGAAGTTTGTAGATTTGGCCCGCAACGCGCCATTATTTTTACCTACCAGTTCCCAGCGGCCAAAAAAAGTTTCACATGAGATCGAGGCCATTTGTGCCAAACTCTGAAATCATATGGCATCGCGATCGATAACCGCGGGACATCGCAAATCCCGCGGGAAAAACGGTCGAAACAGTATGCGTTCTCCTTCGTCGAACGCAAAAATGTTAGACAATCTGGAAAGCGTGTGATAACAAAGAAGTTGAAAAAATACACGGGTCGCTTTCAGCTCAGCCTTAAATTCCGGTTTGCATTTCCGGAAATTTCCAGTGGCGAATGAAACAACATTTTTGCGAGGAGTGCTTTCCATTGAACCAAACTTTCAAAACGAGGACAAATGCTACAGAAATTTGCATGGAAAGTTTCCGGAAATCCAAAAAACTTTGTATTTCAGAAATTGGAACCATTCAACCAAAATTTCAGGAAATTTCGGAAGGAAAACGAAATAGAATGGAAATTCCTGGTGAGAAATTCTCGAAAATTGAGCATACCTCACGAGCCTGTCCTCTATTCTGTTTTCAGTCGTGGTTACTCGTGTGTATTTTATACACGATAGGAACGTTAGTACTGCAGGCAGTTCTTATCTTGTTGTTTTATCTTTTTATGAAGCTAATGCAACGAGATTGCTTTGATTAATTTGTCGTTTAACATACCGCCACGGAATCTTTAGGAATATTTTAATAATTTCCATACCAAAAAGCTTAGAAAATCGCCGGCAAATATGAATGTTTTTAAGTTCGTTTTTAGTGCGAAGTCAGTAGGACGGAGGACTATTGAGGTTAGAGTATTGGGAAAGGTGCTCCAAGTAAGCGAAATGCTAGTTCCTGATCGAAGACGTGTCCTTCAAATGTCAATAATTTCGTCAGCTGGACACAATGACGACATACTGATACTAAAAGACCGTAACGCAAATCTGTGAAATTTTCCATTGTTAACTACTTGACTTCGCGTAGGATTAGTTGGGGTCGCATATAGACTCCCTTCCAGGGTAGGTGAGGCAAGTGGCTCTTTGAAAATACTAAGAAATTGCCTCTTTTCCACTCCCCAGACATTTCTTTCGTACCTATTGTGTTTTAGTCATGTGCATATTCTAGGGGGTAGGCGAAAGGTTTTTTTTTGTAATCTCAGCATCCAAAACAAACACAGCGTCGTGTGTCGTGGTTTTCTTCTAGACGGCAAAATTCTGTACTTAGAACCAAAATACAAAT